TATTATCACTGCTTGGCGTAATGTGTGCTAAGGGCGCTTATCTCATTTACCACAGTCGTTCTTTACAATAATTAGTCTTAAATACGAACGTCGTCAAAACAGACGGGTTCGCAACAGGCACACGTAAATAATTATGAAATGAGTTACGGAACACACACATACAAAGATAATCTTTGAATTCTGTCATGGTATGCAAAATATTTGAGCAGTTTAGTATGTTGCTATTAGAATGAATACTTTTTAAATTAAATAATATATCAATTTAAAAGAGATAGAATTACTGGAAACTAGCTAAAATTTTCAATAGTAAAACACTGTATAAAAATAATAAGTTTTAACCGGAAAGTTTCTGCTATATTAAATCAAATTTACATTCGAAATTAATTACTTACATTATTCAGTATTCTCTAATATATTTGCCGTTTTAGAAATTATTTTGAATACACAAAACACTACAAAGGAAATTTACAACATATCTAAAGGATTTAAAGGCCTTAAAATATAATTTTACTAAGAAATTATGATAGAGATAAAAGGTATATTTCAAGGTTTATAATTTCAAGCTGTTTAACAGCTTCAAATTATAAAACCTTTTATTGGCTTTTATTCAAGAGAAAGGTTTTAAATTTTTTAACATAAGTGATAAATTTTATTCCCTTGTAGGTTTTTAAAGCAACTTTCTTAGCAGAATATCTATGTCTTCAGCAAAGAGTTTCTTGCTTTTTATCCAATGACAATAAAATTCTACAAATCGCGACATAAAATTCAACAAATACTTACGGAAGTGAAACTTTTATTTCGATTACTGCGTTTTTTCTGATAGCAACAATGTACTTTTTATAGCTATGAAACTAACTATTCCAAACTCCGTAGTTTTGGATATTGTCTAATCACAAAAAATCGTAGATGATCCTTACCATGGTCGATGATAAGATTTGCGTTGAAACTAACGAACCTTCCCACCGTAAGGGGTAAATAGAACAACGTGCTCCATTTCAAAAATTTTGTTAAAATTAAAAAAAAAAAAGACGTTACGTGACAAGATGGTTTCCGATACATACATTCATAATATATTCACACACTCATACCTGTATCGGAATAGAGGTAGGCAGAAGCGTACTGCGTTTTAAACACTCAAAGATCCCGTTTACGTAATTTATCATTTGAGCATTTTGGGAATTCAATGTGGAAATATTGGAAGAACTTTGAAAGGGTAAGAGTAGGGGAAAATTTAAGAAGTCAAATCTCGAGAAGGCTGTTACTATTAAGTCCGAGCCCTATAACAAAAGTTTTTCTACCAATCGACTCTATACCAAGTTGACACAACTATACTCCTTTCATTCACCCTTTAATCATCCGCTATTTACGGGTATTTGCTAACAATCTATTAGATACTTGTTTGTCAATTGATATTTAAACCACAAAAACAATAATTAAAAAATCACTACTGATTCATTACCAACCACTGTGACTACTAAAAATTATAACGACTGTTTTTTGTAGTCACAATCGGGTTCATGGTCCCGCTGTGGTGTATTAGCTGGTAGAACACCTACTACTAATAGTCATTTTATAGACATGTATTATACATGTGTATATTTGTGGTCACGACAATTTGACACCTACATACAAACTTTATGCTTTCCGTCCGGCTATAAGGGAGTCGTCATTCTGTGTTTTTGTATTGGTATTTTTTATTATTCGTGTTATTGAAGAGCGAGTACCAAGTAGATATAAATTATAATAACTGCTTAATATTCTATTCAGTAATCTTTATGTAATGTGTCATCCAATTTAGTGGCTTTCCTGAGAAGAAGAAACTCAAAATTGGCGACGAATATAGACCATACACAAAGAATCATTTCTTAAAAGACCTCTACCGTAACCATGTTATCATTAAAAACAACTAAAGCCTCACGAAACGTCACTTATTTAGCATAATATATTTTACAAGTATTTCTTTTCTCTAGAGAACAGGAAACTCTGCTTCCCAAATAATATTTTCGGACATAATATTTTTAATAATACATTCAGACATCCGATACACGACGCCATCTAGTCTCAAACCAAGCAGAGCTTGTACTATGAAAGCTAGATTGACTGATAGAATACTTTGTATACTATTTTTTTGTAAATACATACATATATACATAGACAACACAAACATTTATTCCGATCCGTAAATCGAACCCGAGAGCTCAGCACAGCAGTCGCATACGATACCACTGCACCACCAAGGCAGGCATAACATTTTTGATTTAAACTAGCTGACCCGGCAAACGTTGTTTTGCCATATACATTATTTCTAGGAAATATTAAAAAAAAAACGTTGTCATTTAGAGGTATGAAAAATAGATGTTGGCCGATTCTCTGACCTACCCGATGGGCACACACAATTTCATAGAAATCGGTTCAGCCCTTTCGGAGGAGTAAGGTAACTAACATTGTGATATGAGAATTTTATATATAAGATTGACCTAACATTTATAGGTAAGAAGTACACTACCGTGACTGCTGCTGCTTAATTTTTATCATAATAAGAATGATTCACGATATCATAAATAGTAAATACGTTCACCTGCAAACATATAACATAACCATTTAATTGTATCACTTACGCGTCGGGTGTATAAAAAGAATGAATGAATGAACAAATATAGATTCTCAAAGATTGCTTAGATATTCTGTTTTCAAATGACACGATATTTTCGTTAGATATTTTGTTTCAATCGTCTTTGTGTCAGTATGTATGCATGTGCTATATTTTTATACATTTTTTTATCATCAGGTATTATTGATCTATTGTATGCATATCTTTGCATAAGTAGGTATGTATAGATTATACAGAATACTTTTTAGTGTATATATAGGTATGTAAATAATCGGCCCGGTTGCCTGGTGCTTAGATAATTTTGCTGTTTCGTAAGTAAACACGAAGATTAAATCAATTTATTTAGATGTTTATGTTTAACTCAAGACTAAAAACTCTTATATGTTATTGTATATCTACTAAATGATAAATATTAGAAATAAAAGTGAAAATAGTTTTGACAATTTCTTCTCTTTGTCTGTAAGAGATATTTCTTTAGGAAAAACCTTAAGATTAACTTAAGGTAATTATTAATACTAATTATTATATTATAACTATTAATGTTTTACATATAAGTAACCTTTTCTAATTACGTAACTTAAAATATCTTTATTTTATAAAATTGATTATAATTGTTTGAAATTGTCTTTTATGTAGCCTCTAAAGTAATAGATCAACACACACAAGAACTTACACCTCTAAATGTGATCTTTTTTAAAAGCAGTAAAAAAAGATCACCAAAATTGATAAATCGCCAAAAAAATCGGCCAAATATGACTGTTCTTAAGCGATTAAATCAATATTTGAAGTTGTTCCGATGACCTAATAGGTCCATACGTAATCTTCTATAATAGCTTTCAATGCTATATCCAATGATTTCGCTATTATTCGTTATATTCAATGAATTAATAAATCCACATACTTTTATAAATAAAAAAGCTATTGAGTTGGTATAGCCTGATAATAATTGAATGGATGCATAGAATATATAAAGGCCAACTTCAACCTATTGAAAATATAGACTTGTTTTACAAATAAAAAAATAGTAAAAATATTATTGTTAAATGATAAATGTCCAATTGGAAATTAAGTAAATTTTCATATGTTTCGAATGAATAACGATTCAAAAACCGATAATTTATTGAAAACTAACTATTCCGATTGAACGACAAAGAAAAGTCGGTTTCCCTACCGTACTGAAATTCGACCTATCGGACTTGGCAACACTATGTACAAGTAAACAGACGAGAATACTGTCTACACATTTTACCTGCCTGTACCTTATTACCAGTATAAATATTACTGTAAGTACTTAAATAATTAGTACCTGGATGACCGAGCTTTGCTCGGTATTTTAATTTTTTTGGTAAATTTTCTAAAAATGCAACCTAGCTAGATCGATTCATCGCCCCCGAAACCTCCTGCATACTAAATTTCATAAAAATCGTTGGAATTGTTTCCGAGATTCAGATTATATATATATACATATATACAAGAATTGCTCATTAAAAGGTATTAGATATATTGTGACCTACCCTTAACTAAATCCTAACTAATAATAGAAATACGAAAGTCAATTTACATGTGTTATGTTCTCATCTTATGTATTCAACTGATCATCATATTGTAATTTTATTAACACGTCAAGGATTCAGAAGAACCACTCGTATCTACCTGTTACTGACAGAGAAATAAAAAAAACTTTTATCTGAGCGAAACTCATAATATTTACAAATTAACTAACGATGACTCCTTGTGAGCTACTAGCAAATCATCAGCAATCGAATTACAGTGTATTCATGTGGCATTGTACCTGTCAAAGACCTGCACCTGGGCTATCAGTTTCTATATTTGGATACAAAATCCGTATCATTTAGTTAGCTTTACGTATCCTATTTGCAATACCGTGTATGATTAGATATAATGGTTTTTCCGAACTAATATTACTATGTAAACATAACATTATATGTCCGGATGTATCCAGTATTGGACAGAATAGCTCACATATTAGCCTAAAAACTGTATTTTATTTTCAACTGGCTGGCAGCTCTGGCATTGTGCTAGTTATGAGAATTTTCCACGCGTGGTTGATAAAAACTTTTTAAGCTCCAAGGCTAAAATAAAAATAGTTTGGAAAACCTTAAAATAAATAAAGCTTTGTAAGTTTACATAACACAACATTTCAAATCACGATAATTACTTTCATTTTAATTTACTGATAAGTTCAACTATATGAAGTAGTAATTAAAATTATAATAAAAAGTAAAAAAGAAAAGTTTATCTTATTGTGTCGCGTCGTGATGACTAGTGCCGACGCGTGAGGTATACTCTGTTTGTATAATATGGAAGGTCGTTCATTAAAAAAATACAATTACGAATATAAAGGCAACATAACATGAAACGAACTTACCTTGTGGGATTATAAGCGAAATAAGAGCACAGAGCACAAGAAATCCCGTCAACATTTTCCCAACACACTGGACAAATACTTATGAAACAAAACCGTTTGCATTGTGTATTTAAAAAATAAGCCAGTAATTTACTATACAATCACCAGTCACAACACTAGTTATCACTTTTAACACTAAGAAAACTGTTGAAATTTGTTACAGTGTAATAAATAACAGTTATAATGAACAAAATGTTAGTTTAGTTCGATACGTGAAATCGTAGTGTAGCCACCATTTTGGCGCCAGAACACAGACGTGCGTTCGATTCAGCGCAGTAAAGCGGACTTGTATCTTGTTCAAGTCGGCTACTATGGCCAGTCTCGCTAGGTGATTGCCGCGTGAGGCTTGTTTGGGCGGTTCGCCATTATAACGAGTGTCTGTTGCGACTCAGCAGCGACAGTTTGCCACAATCCACGTTCCACTATATCTCAATTGACATCAAATCGTTTGCATTTGCTCAATAAACACAGGTCAAACAGCTTCGATCCAGCTACGTCAATCTGTTCGACTTTATTAGAGGACACATGACTTTTGCCACGTTGTAGGTACAGGAAATTTCGTATTACGAAACTTGACACAAAATAATTTAACATACGACTTTCAAAGGAGAAAAGTTCTCAAACATAAATGTCTATCTAATCGATATAATCAATAACTGAAAAGAAATGCGTAACACTTAATTGCTTCGACTTTGGATGCCTTTTTTTAATGTTCATGCCCCTCACATCACATCACACATCAACAGCCTTTACTAGTCCACTGCTGGACATAGGCCTGTCCTTAGAAAGGAGGCTCGGCATACTATACCACGCTGACCAGACGTGTTGGGGTTTGTGTCAAGTTCTCTTTGCAGTGCTATTTGTAGTCGGCTCTTACGACACCCACGGCATGAATATTCTTTTCCGTTCTTAATCCGTTACCACACGGAACAGCCCGTATTATTTTTACGTTTCCCGGTCACACAATAACATCGACAAGATAAATAGATTGTTATAAGTTTTCACCATATTTTTTTTGTATTTTTACCTTTTACCTACCAAATTCATCAGAGCTCCTAACTACTTTTGATATCTCTGAATAATCAAAAGTTACACTCTTACCTACAAAGTTAGACGAACGAACTATTTTTTGATTTCATTTCAAAGCTAACATTTCAATATCTTGCTTTAGCTCTAGTTTTCTTCTTCAAATAAGTAAGTCACAAAATCAAAATCCTGACATTGTTGAATGTCTCAAATAACTTTTATAGCATCAGTCACGACCACAGAAATCGTAATAATAAGACACATTACTTGACACTTGTGTTTAATATTACATATGTGTCTTATTATTACAATTTCTATGGTCACGACATTATTTTAGTTATTTTTATTTTACCTATGCTCCCTTAAACGTAGTTTTGGTCATGTTACATATTAATTCTCATAAAAATTTTACTTTCTTACAGCCTCTTACCTGGTAAAAGAGAGGGGTAAGGAAAAATTAAATTACTTTGATATACCTATAGTTAATCAGGAATTATAAACAAACTCCAGAGAAATATATTACAACAGAAATGAAACTTTAGAGCAACTTACCTAATAGTCTGAATGATCTGATATTTTTCATAATAACTTGAAACAGCTCACAGTAGTGTGATCCCAAACTAAGCTGAGCTTGTGCTATGGTAACCAAACTGCTAACATAGGTACATAAATGTTACATACATATTATAGATAAAGTGCTTAACACACAATCATTTGTCTTGTGTGGGCCAACTAGACTAACGGGCCTATACTTAACTACATAGGTTATAGGAATATATTAAATACCAGTAAAACCATTTTTGATAAAACGTAGAGATTTAAACTACAATGATAATATTTCAAGCGTATAAAGAAAATCGTGAAGTTGAAGAATATGATAATTTGGATGAGACTTCCGACTTGTAAAAATATCTGAAAAGATTTACTTGCAGAAATAAATATAATTTTATTTTATTTCATTTCATTTCGAGATAAAGCCAAAATGTTGCGGATTCATATAAAAGTAGGTATTTTTACTGAGTGCGAGATGCCCATTGTAAGCGCTAGTTGAGAAAATGGTTTCTTAACCAACCTTTTGTTTTGTTTTGGTAAATATTTAATACTTTTATTTGGTAAATGTTTAAAAAATTCGCTCAGTATCACCACGATATTTTATGAAATGAATAATCATTAATAATTGCTATGGATAACGCTAGTTATTATTATTACCAGATTAATAAATCATCATCAACAGCCTTTAATAGTCCACTGCTGCCTCTTCTTAGAAAGAAGGTTATGGCCTACTATGCCACGCTGGCCAGTGGCCAGTATTATAGGGTTTGTTTCAAGTTCTCCTTCTCATTGCAGTGCTGTTGTTCTGAGTAGTTTGCATTCTAAGTAGGCTCTTACGACACTCACTGGATGAATAGCGGCGTTGACACTCCGTATTCTTGATCCGTCACCTATTCTTATAGTGGATTTAAGAAAAATAATGTTTCCTACGTCAATTCCTTGACGCACAACTGTAGCAGCGAAACAAAACGTCCCCCTATACATTTTAGGTAGACGAAGTATTGAAATAAAGTAGGTGCATACCGCATGACCCTATGTTGATATACTATGTAAAGAAAGATGTTGGTATATCCCTCGAAGCAATTATTTATCAATACATCAGAGATAAACAATATCACAGAATGATTCATTTGGCAAAGCATAATTAACTCAAAAGATATGAGAAAATCTTAAGTAACCAAGGACTGTCTTCCATTTTGTTATTGACTTACTGTGTACATTGCGTCTTTGCTCACGTGTATACCTATATATTTAAATTGTGTGCAGAGCTCAAATATTTTGACAAAAAATTAATTGCACAGAGTTTCTCCTTGTATTATCAGGTATCTTTTGGTTAAAACTTCGTGGAAATTGGTCCATCTGTTCTGAAAGTTAGCCGGAATAACAACAGGCAGACAAACAATACAAGTAATATTAAAAATTAACTCTTTTTGTTTTTTGGTTTAGTCGCTATGTAAAAAACCATTTCTAAACAGCTTTTTTATGACAGCCACCGTTTAATTTACACATACGTCAATTTGTATTTAAATGTTAATTTAATACACAGGAACCGATGTTCATTTATTTTTTGTATAAGCACAACAATTATTAATTGTCTGCGATACTCTGTAAATACTTTTTTTCAAAAGACTTCGTGTTATTTACCAATATTATTTCAAAACAAACATTTTAATATTTGGACTGTTTTAGACGCACATATCACTATCGAGGTGTTGCTAAAAATTAGCGCTGTATCGTAACGGTGCAGCGTTATGCTGAGCCACATCTCCTTTTAATGAATATTGTACCTTTTTTTTAACGCGTGGAATGATTTTCGCACCATACCCTCCGATGAGGTAACGCAGGGCGTGTGTAGGACTCCCGGAGAATCGGTTTACCCACTAAACCCCGCGGCGGCCTACCTCGGCAGAAATATCTTATGTACCTAGATACTATGTTTTTATGTTTTATGTAAGAATATATAGAAATTTATACTTATAGAATATATAGAAATTTATATTATATTTATGTTACATAGCCTATAATGCCTTTATACTTCCCTAATAATATTCAAACCATTAGGTACTTGTTCATTTCCGACTGATAACTCCAGAGATTAGCACAAACTTACAATAATAAAAAATACTTATCAGCTGTATTAGATCAGCATATTTACAATACATTACAGTATGATCTAAACTATAACTCTCTGCTACTAATATACTCGTACAACAAAGCCTTATGGGCTATCTGGCACAGAGTCAAATACCAAAGACCGTGTTAGACAGTATTTGGTGTTTTATTTGTTTTAAATGTTGCTTATTTAACCGTAAACTATTCGAATGTGAAAATAATGCATCGAGCAATAATTAATCTTCAATTTGAGCATCGAGTAAACGATTCGAATATGTTCACAGAAAACTATATACTAAATATGTTTTAGGTACATATTTTGTTTTGAATCATTTCTATTGTCACTGACAGCTAGACCATAATGTTGCCCACGTGGAATAAGTTTTAACAATTGGCCACGATAATATTTTATACTATTTCAGAAAGCGTTTTTTTAAAGTTAAATAAATGATGAAGTTTGGATAAGTGCACAGTTGTTAACTAAAATGTCACTTCAAGTTCAAAGACGGCATGTCTTAGAAAAGTGAATGACCTAATCAATTAACATTTTATATTCAAGCATAAAAGTTACAAGAGATGATTAGTATGACTGGAACTGAAAAAAAAGTAACCTAAAATAATTCAATTCATTTGTCAACGAACATCAAAACACAAAGCGTAAAACATTGAGTGTCTATATTGTTTTATTCATTGGGCCTCAAATGAAAATGAACAGTTTTAACACTAAAACTTCTGTTTAGTTACTGTTAAGATATATCATGGAATTCCTCTAGTAACAATAATAATATTTTATTTTACTGATAAATAAAAATTATTCAGTTATACAATGTTACTTCAATATTATAAGCACATTCATGTAATAAACAATATGCGGCGAGCATCACAGTAAAAGTAAGATACTTCAAAATATTGGCACTTTTTAGCTTCTTTGAATATTTAATATTGGCAGCCCAATTTCTTTGTGTCAAAATTCTTTCAGATTCTGACAACAAAACTGACGTATAAACGAATCGTACATAAGAAATTACGAATGAGAATGACAACCATAACAATTCTGTCATCATATAGCTGCGCGGGCGCCGTGAAAATCGAATTATTTCTAAATATTTTTCTTACAATTTTGTTTTTCGTTTACGCTACACGTGGTGTGTTTAACACAAGTGCATATCTCTTTAATATTCTATGTATAGCCTGAAACTTTTTTAAGAGTCATAATGGGTTTTTCTCAGACCACAGCGCATGTTCTTTTAGGATGTTGTTCTAGCGCTTTTCTTATGGAAATATTAATGGCAAGAAAGCCTAGCAGCGCTAATTTAGTTACATTCCTCCAATTTTTCTTTATATCATTGTATGGATTCGTAGTTACTGCCAAACTGGGCAAGGTGAGTACTTTTTACTAAAGATATTACCTAAACTTTTTGTATACTGCTGAAATGAACTTTTTTTAAATATTATTTGCAATATTATTATGTATTATTATTATTAGATTATGTATTAGATATCCATTAAATTCTAAAATTCACTGTTCGTTCGTAACTCTTATGAAAGACCTTACTTTAAAGTTTAATATTTTCTTCAATTATTCCAGTTACATTTATTTTAAGTGACTTCCTTTAAAAATACTAATAATAAATTATAAATATAATCATTTGTTTTCCTTACCAGTAAATTTTTGTGCCATCATTGTCCTTAATAATATTTGTATTTGTAAAAATATATTTAGATGTAGATATAGATCCTAAATGGCTATATGCTCATTTGCTGTCATTTTTGAAATTTTAAAATTTTCATTAAATATAAGAAATATGGGCATCTACTTCACTTCTGGTTGTTCATAGTAAGTACATACAACTTACGTTCTTATAGATGTTTCTGTGCAAAAGACACCAGGGTTCTGTAATATGATTTATTGCATACAAATGTTAAGTTCTTTTTTTCTACTTTTTCCTTCATTGTTCTATGATTTTCTTTCATTCATATTTAATTCTTAAGAGCCTGAATGACTTTCTGCCCGGGAGACAGAAACAAAAAAAATTGGAAAGTGTATGAAAGAAGGTGTTTTGCTACCATAAATTTGGGAAAAATACAAAAATATAGTTTGTTAATTTTAGTACTGAAGTAACTAAATATAGTTGCTTTATTAACTAAATTTAATCAGTCATTTGCTATTACTTGATATTACTTCAACTGAGATTATCTAGAGACTACTAGAACATTCATGCTATTAAAGAAAAATCTGAATCATCATCAACTGCCTCTTACAGTCCACTGCTGGACATACGCCTCTCCTTATAAAGGAAAAAAACTGAATAGCATTGTAATATTGGCATTCATAATGATTCTTGAAAGACAATCCTAACACAGTAACAGAATAATGTAAAATGAGTTTCATGAACCTAATGATGCATGAAAATCTGATAGTTGGGATTGTGTGTTCTGTTGTTGGAATCATTAATTGTAAATGACACTACTGGGGTGTTGTTTACAATTTTATTTGTTAACAACACAGTTCTAACACTTGTGCATTTAACAATAATTATTTTTTCATTTATAAGATCACGAGCATGGCATTTTAAATAGTTTTTGTTTTTCCAGAAATTACCACAAGTTGCTTTAAAGTTTGCAGATGTAGTGAAACAAAGATATGGTGAAAAAAAATGAATAGTTATTGTATAAATATCAGATTAAGTTTTATAAACTAATTTAGATGTTTTTTGTTGTAATGGATATAATTGTTATGTTTTATGAATCCCTATAAACTCAACTAATTTCAAAATTATGATTAAAAATTAAACAAAAATAAAAACACATTTGTACATCACTAGTCGGCTGTAGTGTCATTTACAATCCACAGAATGAATTATATATTAAAACTCAAAACTCATTTATGCTAAGTGAGGTTTGCCTTCTAAGTGTTGATATCTATAGATCTATTTCTTTTAAATTTTTTACTAGAAAAATTGCATTGTTACACTTTCAGGTAAGCCCAAAAATACCTCTAAAAGAGTACATAATACTAGTCACTTTATTTTTCTTAACCACAGTGGCCAATAATTATGTCTATGCCTTGCATGTGCCTTCTACATTGCATATGATTATAAGGTAAATATTTATTTATTTATGGTACAACTCTTTGAAGATATTAAATTATTTTTTTAATGACTATTACAAAATTTGTTTAAATATAGCTGCCAAAACACTTAAACCTGTGCAAGTGGGTGTAAATTGCACACATGCCAACCCCTAAATGATTAGTTTTTCACATTTTATTGAAAACCAACTGTCGCTTGCGGCTCCGCCCGCTGATATGGACGACATTAATATAATTTATAGCCTATAGCACTCGGGGATAAAGCAGCTACATGTTAGTGTAAGAATTTTCAGAATCGGTACGGTAGTTTCAAAGATTACCCCTTACATACAAACAGATTTTACCTCTTTATATTATTAAAGACAAAAAGTCCCACTTAGTTAAAGGGGGGTGATGATTAAAGTCAGAATCATAATAGAAATCTTAACTTTATCATTTTAATATAAAATCTTGAACTAATAAAAGTCTGGGATTAAGTTACCACTGGTTGTTCATTCTGTCTTGAAGAAGTTTATAAAAATATTAGGTATAGCGTATTTCCCAACAACTAGTTATTGACGTGATAAATATAGTACTTGATAGGTCTTTATTTCCTTTGAAATTTCCAGGTCGGCTTCATCACCAGCTAGCATGCTTGTATATTGTTGTGTAAAGCGACAAAAACCAAAATTGAACAACGCTATTGGCTCTGTACTGATCAGTGTTGGTGTTACGTTGGCTATGTATGGTGGAGCGCCTACTAATGAAGAAAATAAGGGGACATTTTTATATTGGTGTATAGGAGTCACTATATTATGGACGACATTATTCACTGGCGTTTTTGCGGGACTGCAACAGGAGAGGCTGTATTCACAATATGGAAAACATCCTGATGAGGTGAGTGTTCTGGAAACAGGGTTTCACCATCTGCTTTGATATTTACTTTTTATACTAGAGGGGCAAACGAGAAGACGGGTCACCTAATGGAACGTGACCACCGCCGCCCATGAACGCATTTGAGGCAGGCATTACGCTCACGCACGTCGTATCGGTCCGGAAATACCGCATCCGATAATTTGTTCCACAGAAATTAAAAGAGTAAAAATAACTAAAATATCTTAAAATAGTATTGTGCTCTTGATCAGCAAATCGCAAACTGGGACCCCGTATGATTTGAAATGATATAAAATCAGTTTTTTATGTCACATTGATATCTCATTTACGTAAATTTAAGTCATGTGTTTCCACTAAAGCATTTATTGTATCCATAGTTAGTCATCATTAGTATTTTTAAAATAGCAGAAATATATTAGATTAGTTATTCGTTCGTATAGATTGAAGGTTCGTTAAGTTTATGTTGTTAACGAGAGTTGGGCGGGCTCGACTGAATGATACTAACGCTTAACAGAACACCAGTGTTAAGTAATTCTTTCATTGCTTGCTATTCACTAAGTGAATAGGGTTACATGAGGCTCAAACCACCAACCCCAGCCTTCCTCCTCTCCGCATCTCACGCCTCTGGGGGAGGGCATTCAAAGGTTGACAACCTACTTGTCTTCTTTACCCTCCACATGCGAATGCAGCTGCTTTCCATCTTATGCGTTTACATATCTATAAGATACGATCATTACGAGATTTACATATCTATACGTATGTTATATTAAGTTTATTAAAGCAAGTGCTTGTTTTTATTAAAAGCCCGGGAGACGAATGTAAAAGTAAATGGAGAGATTAAACTACAAGTCCGGATGCTAAATGGAACTAAGATTGCAATAGCTGGGTCACGAACGGATTTGACATTGCCGTGGTTGGATAGGACCCTCGGGGAGGGAAATAAACATGCAATATGCAGTTTCGTGAAATTCAAAATCTTATCATTTTCTTTTCACCTAACTACGAGTAATTTGCTAAACCAGTGACTGCGCCCAACGGTTACCTTCTACCTAACTAGGTAGTTTGATAAATGATTAACCTGAAATAAATGTATGTATTTGAACAAAATGTGTTCTAAATAAATTAGTATCATTATGTACATACATAGATACAAGTCATCTACAGGTTATCAGAACTGGTTCGCAATCAACCCATAAAATTATCTTACATTTGTACGAGTAACACTTGAATAAACAAACAACCAATGTTAAACGCATTAACGCAAAAGTTACTTTTACCTACTGTATTTAAATTACTCAGTCGTATCTGTCATTGATTATTATTATAACTAAGCATAGTATAAAGTAATGAAGTTACATATGGGTATAAATCGTTAATTAGTTAAGTTAGCGATTCTGATAATTTGGGTGATCCACCACTGGCTTTCGTTTCACCTAAAGTGAAAAGACTGTATAAACGTGAGAATAGGGACATTCTGGGCATTGGACATACATAGGTACCATGGGGATGCGTGGTGACGCTTCGTTATTTCATTTCCATAACTTATTTTTTAATATTCCTTATTTCTACATGACAATTTTAAATTAAATTAAAGTAGGATGAAAAAGAATTGAACCAGTAAGAAATCGGTATCGTATTAACAACAGTATAATTTGTAGAGGACTGTAGTGGCACTTTAATGACTTTTCTTTTAAATATCATAAAAAACTTTTTACTTTTCAGATGCTGTTCTACACGCATGCTATCCCATTGCCTTTATTCCTAGGAATCTATCCTCAATTGGTAGATACATCATCAGACCTATCCTGGGACACCTGGCTGTTGATATCTCTTAATATACTGTCCCAATTCTATTGTACACATTCGGTCCATGAACTGGCAACCAAAGAAACATCAGTGACAGTAACATTTATACTTACTTTAAGGAAATTTATTTCTCTTCTGATCTCATCAGTAGTTTTTAAAAATAGTTTGACTATATATCATGTGATCGGGACTATTATCGTTGCAATTGGTACATATGTATACTTTGACTATTTTTCTGGAAGAAGACAAAAACCTGTTAGTATGAAAACTAAAGCAAATTAATCCTTGAACATTTTTAGTTGAACATTTAGTGACGGTACCTAATCGTATGAAACAGTCACTCAGGACGTTTTGACGTAATATTTATTTTATACAAATTAGGGACGCTGACATGAAATGTTAATATATTTTTGATCTTTCCTGTATATATATAGGAACATAATAATAATATAGGCAATTAGGAACAAAAGAGTTTAGTGTAAAGAGTATATATTTAAAACACATTATTGTAGTATTTATATTGTAACTTTCTACATTCCACATTATTTTAAAATATACAGTAAAATAAAATATAGTATGAAACACTTAAACGTGATATCACATGAAAGGAATAATGTCTGATCCCACATTCGTCCGGTCTGAATGCTGGACTTTGCTTTAGCTAGCCCGTTGAGCCCACATATGTGCCAGTCCGTGCAATTAGGGGCTTTAATTAGAACAAATTATGTTACGGTATAATGTTTACCGAAATCTAGCGGTACCAAGAACTTATATCGATAATATGGAAGCACGCATTCGAACTAATCGACCAAAACATTTCCTTCATAGGTCGTTTTTATTGTCTTGTCAGAATTGCCTTTTCTGATTATCGATAGACAAATTGCCAAAATATATAACTCACTCCGCAAAAATTCGACTATAGCATGACTTAACAATAAGTTCCCATTCAGTAAATAACTTTTGAAAATTATTACCAACTTTAATGTGTAAAAAATACAGTCTAATTGAGAACATCCTCCTTTTTTTGAAGTCGGTTAAAAATATCTATGGGTGCTATTTTTTTAGTTTAAAGGGGACCGGGGATTCAAATGGTTAGTATACCCTCCTAAAGAAAACTAATTTCAAATTGGTTTCTAAATGACGGAGTACTAAGATAACAAACAAACAATTTTTATTTTTTATTGAGAACCTTTATGAAGTCGGTTAAAAATATGAATCTCTACCTATAAATATCTGTATTAAGGACATTAAAAAGTTATTTTCTTTTATTTTTATTTCCGGAGAACAAATATAGTAGTGTCAATATTATTAAATAATATTTAGATATAATCAGATATATTATTTGCAACGACGACGTAGTCGAAGTTAATTTGTAATGTCCACATAAAATACTTAATACATTCCAAGTGTTGTAATATTAGGATAATCTTAATTCTAAACTGTCAAAACAATTTAAAATAGCAACATCAAAACTCAGTCATTTAATACGTTCTATAATGTACATAAATTATCTTAAAAATATAAAAATACACAACAAATTTGGACCCTGTCGTGCACAGCAACATGTTAGGAGAGAGGAAGAGGGCTAAACAGCAATAACTCAACATCTAATTGTGCACACAACTAATAACTAATTTTCATATTCTTATATAACTCCGTCTTGTCTGACTCGATTTTACAACCTGTTTGACTCTGTGATAGAGTTCTTGGAAACTAAAGATACAGAATTTCGCAACAAGCTCATTACATCAAAGAATCATATAACTCACATGACAGACCGATATAAATTGTTCAACGATATGAATCTCCAACGGCAAGGCGATGAACTAAATTTAATTAAAACAAAGAATGTCGTTGCTGCTTTCGCAGACAAACTACTTCTACACAAAAAGAATATGGGCAGACGTGAGTTTCACAATTTTCCGAATTTATCAGTATCCTGCAGTAACGTCGACTTGTTTGCCCACTGCCAACATTTGGAAAACCTGCACATTGACTTAACCGAACGATACCAGGACATTTTGAACTTGGAAATACCAAACTGGGTCCATGACCATTTTCAAATGTCAACACAGCAATGTCACCTCAGCTGGAAGAAGAACTTATAGAATTGACAAGAAACAAGGAAATAAATATCAAGTTCAAAAATGGCTACCAAGAATTTTGGCTACAAAAACAGATCCCGCAATTGTACCTACCCTGGATTATGGTCAATCGTTCAACAATTCTTGATAGCATTCTCATCGTCATACTTGTGTGAACATGGATTTAGTGCTGTGGCAACGCTGCTTACTGAGGAGAAATCGTTTGCATGTTACCAAACGTGGCGACTTGCGGCTGTTCTTGAGTAAATTGGAACATGATATCAACAAACTTATTAAACAGCATCAGATTCATCGTTCACTTTTTTATATAAGAATCGATTATGTTTGTTTTATTTTGATCAAAAGAAACTATGTCTGAATACTATAAAGTTGCGTTTTAATAATCATTCTCATTGGCAGGTGTAGCCCGTAAGAGTTAACTTGAGACCTGAGCGCAGTTGTGTACTGCGTACTGCGTTCAGGTGTCTAGTTAACAGACCCTCTCATACAGACTGACGCAGGTGATCACTGGGATCACCTGTGTCTGATCCGCAAGGAGCCAACGCCTGAGTGCCACCACTGCGATGGCCAGACCGTGGACACGGCTCTCCACACGCTGGCGGAGTGCCCGGCGTGGGTTGAGCAGAGGCGAGACCTCGTGGCGGCCATCGGAGTGGGAGTTCTCTCGCTCGAGAGCCTGATTGCGGCTATCGTGCGGAGCGAGAGTGCGTGGAACTCTGCCGTCTCCTTCTGCGAGCAAGTTATGCTCGCTAAGGAGACGGTGGAGCGGGACCGGGAGAGGTTTAGAACTCTCCCGGCCCGCCAGGCCCGGGAACGGGCCAGGTACCGCAGGCGACTCAGGCGCCGGAGGGCGCAGAATGACCTCCGCCCTCCATAAGCGCAGGCCTGGGGGTGACAGGTGAGGCCATCTGTCACCCTAGCAGAAGCAGGCCGGGGTGGCGGCGAGCGCGTTGCGAAGCGCGCTCGCTTCCGGGGAGCAGAGGGAACATGGGGTTCCCACACGGGGGGGGGTCGTCTACTCGTCTGTAGATGGCCCGAGGTATGTCGGGGCACCAGGGACTTCCTTTCTAGAGTATACCTGGTTCTCCGGCTATTAGTACCCGAGACGGCGTGCAGTTTTAGTCGGTTCGAGTCCGACATGCCACCGATAGGTGGTATCCGAGGGGATTTCCGCACGGGAAAAAAAAATAAAAAAAAATAGGTGGCTAGTTAACTCTTGCGGGTTATAGTAAAAGTCTTGTTTAGAATGAATGTTTAATCTCCGCTAATATAGCTCACAAGAATTAATTTATTTAATTTGAAATTAGAGTGGTTTTTAAGTAGGTGAAAAAATGTAGGCGCTAATAAATAGTTTATTCTCTATAGTTTTGCACACTGTTGCGTGCAATGAGCGGTCCGAAAGCCAGTTTCTGCTTTTTGTTACATATTTATTGTTTTGTAAAAAAAACTCAACGCCTTCTTTAGAGTTCTTTGTAGTGCAAATTTGCAATTATTTTTAAGACGTTACGCTACTTAGTAATAATTTTTCGAGAATTTTGATGAATTCTATGATAAAATTGGGTCCTCGGGTACCCGGGGATATGAATCGGGAATAAAATAGTACCGGATATTCGGGTATACCCTGTATACCTTAAACCTAATTTTCCTTACCGACTTCTCGAATTTATCGATATTGCGTATCGATAGTTATTACAACCACGGTTGTTTGCAACATCTCAATGTAGTGCGTCACTTCATCAATGTTTGTAATAAGTTAAATACCTTCAAATATGAAGTTTGAATAATACTAATAACTCTTTATTTCACACCATGGTGTATATGTTGTTAGTAACAATATTCTTACAGACTAGTGTTAGTACATAAAGAAAACAAAGAATAATAGACGTATAAACACACAACAATCATTGCTGCGCCATTCCGTACGCAATTGCGTAGCAACGAATAAGAGCACAATTGTTAACTAAAGTGTAACTTCAAGTTCAAAGACATCATGTTTTACAAAAGCGAATGACTTAATCAATTAACATTTTATATTGGTGCTAATTCTGTTGTTGACACAACTAAACTAGAATTCTCTTATTTTAGTTAGGCGATTTCCAAAATGCTATTTATGTTGTCAAGTCGAACTAAATTTGGTCTTCATTGAGACGGCATTAAATTTGAGTCTGACATGACTAAAAGTTAAAAGGAAACTGTTACCGTTGTTTAAAATTAAGAATGAATGATAAAGAGTGAATTAAAAAATCTTTTAAAATTATATTATAAGGATTTTAAAATTCCTGTAAATGTTTATTATGCATATGATAGATCAAATAGGAAACAAAATGTTGTATTTTTCAGTTATAGTTAAGTAAATACAGGTCACTCAGTTCACTTACTTGGAAACCCGCGGTAGTAATTTTTCGTAATCTATGTAACTAAACCGAAGATCTCTTATTTTAGGCATGATAAAATAGGTAATTCATAACACAATAAATAACCAATTTTCTAACAGATGGCGTAAGTAATAACAGCCCAGTTAAAAAAACTAGTAATATATAGTTTCATAATTTTCGACAGAAAGCGTCAGTAACACCTACAATAAAATTCTAATTAATAAAAATTGTTACATCTTCTACTCTATTCTATTGCTGGTGTCCCACAAGGCTGTGTGCTATCACCCACTCTGTTTCCTCTGCATATCAATGACATGTTGCAGACTAGTAGCATCCATTGCTATTCAGATGATAGCAGAGGAGATGCCCTTTATACCGGCCAGGTCAAATCTAGTCCAGTTCAACCCAAAAAAGACACAGGTCTGTGCGTTCACCGAAAAAAAGATACCATTTGTCGTATAACCTCAGTTTGAGAGCCTAACTGCCTCAGCCAGCATCGGAACCCTAGCCGTTGTTCAGTTTCGGGGTCACTTAGAGGGTAAGGTCAAATTGGCCTCGAAAAAGCTCGGTGTGCTGAACAGATCGAGGCAGTATTTCAGTCCGGCCCACCGCTATTCAGCTCTATAAGGCGCAAGTCCGGCCAAGCCGGTTCGAACAAACTAAAAACAGTTGAGTCCTACGTTTCACATCATACCGATCGCTGAGGCATGTCGGGCTTGCGAAGATGTTGCTAAATGCCATACCAACCATGGTCATGAGAGGCTCGCACACAAGCTGGAAACGCTTCAACAACATGACCTGA